GACCTTTTGCAGGAGATTTGCCTTAGTTTCAACTAGATGGCATCTGGTGCAGAAGCTCTCCTCGCCCTTACGGGTAAACGTACCACCGGTCAAAGCATTCGAACTCAGAATGGTAAGGATTTCCTTAATCCATGCTTTTTCACACAGATTTCGCAAGTTCGCAAATCTTCGTTTCGTCGAATGATTGTTTGCTCAGACCACTTCGCAACTGTAGTTGTCAAAAATCTCTTAAGATGACTAGAAAAATATAAATTAGGGCAGAAAGCGAGCAAACTGCTAATCACACGCATAATCATTGCATTGCTCTCTTGTAGACGATTGTGCGTTCAAGGAGAGTAGAAACTAATTATTCTTATCCTGAACACTTTTGGAAACATCTTCTATTTAGTGATGGCCGCTGTGGCCATCGCAAACATCGTGAAGTCCTCTCTGGGCCCCGTTGGACTTGACAAGATGCTTGTCGATGATGTTGGAGTAAGTTTTGCTTACGTTCTCGCTGTTAGAGCTTATATATAAGAATTAGTTGAATCTAGTTCCTCACTTGTAAGATTTGGCATAATGGCACACCCAACGATAGTTTTGCACACAACGGTTATGGCAGTCAAGAATGACAGTCAATTTTCCATTCTTTTCATCTGCAAGAAACAGCAGAAGTAGTCTAAATCAAAAGCCTCTGCCTCTGTTTCTGCAATTGATGCTGAGGGGTGAGCGAAAAGAACGAAGAACAATTTTGTTTGTAATTGTTCTCGGCGTTACCTGGGTGTGGGACCTGATAACGTCATCCTTGGATCCCTTTTGATGCAATTATTTTTTTTTCTGATATAGAGTCTAATCTATTGCAGTATTTCTGTAAACCTAAATTAAGTGAACTTGTGTTGACTTGTTTCAGGATGTTATTGTAACAAATGATGGTGCTACCATTCTCAAACAGCTTGAAGTGGAGCATCCTGCAGGCAAGGTCCTCGTCGAGCTAGCGCAGCTTCAGGACGATGAGGTGAATTACCGTTTCTCATTGTTCTAAAGCGAATGACTTCCTTTTGAGTTTTTTGTGCAGTTTTAAGTAGTATAAAACGATGAGAGGTTGCTCGTCTTTTCATATGTGTGATCTTGTTTATTATAACTTTTTATCAGTCCCATTATATCTTTATATATCTATTTTATTAGATCTAAAGCTTTTTGCGTACCGTTCATACTTTTCGACTAGGGACATTAGGCGATTTAAGAGATTGCGTGACGAGGAAGGTGTAGGTATCGATCTCAGGACTGCGGACATTGAACGATCTTGCGATTCCGAAGACTCGGCATTTCCGGCGATTGCATGCCAAAGGAGGGACGGGACCTATATTTTCGTCATCGCACAATCACTCAAATCGCCGAAACTCCTAAGTCGCAATATGAACGGCCTAATGTACCTACTGAATGTGCAAAGTCTGATGTGTAATTATACTAATTTCTCTCGTAATACGCATAACTCGATGTTTGAATATTTAGTGCTACGGTGTGCTTTGGTTGAATACATTTTGCTCGTCTGTTTTTGGAAGTGAGTTGCTATCACAGATTTCAGTTAGGCTCATTGACAGTGACCTTGCCAACAGTGAGTACACCACTTATTTTGATGATTTTTTGATAATTTGAGTTTTTTTTTGCGATTTTTTGGAGGACTCATAATCTCATATATCATTTCTGTTCCTTCATTCTTTTAGTTTGGATCTTTCGCTGATTTTTTTTCTCAGAAAATTAGGCCGAAATTTACTCTCTTATGCGCTTTTCAGGTTGAGATGCACCTTTCGTTATTCTCATTGCCGCTGATGTTGTTGAAAATCAGGCTGAGAGATTTTCAAAAGCAAACTTCATCGAAACCAATCATCATGGTTATGCTCCAGTAAAAAACTGAAAATACATGCAGGTAGGTTTACCGCGCTTTGTTGACTGCTTACTTCCCCCTATAATACTTCTGTTTCGTCTTGATTTTATTCTACTGTCGTCTTTTTGAAAGTTTGGACAAAGCATTGTTGAAACAATCCAAAGTCGTTGCTATAAAAACGAGTGCAGTTGGGCGACGAGGGGCATTCTGCTTTTTGCTTTTTGACTACCTGTCAACTCTTGTAGAGCAATGAAACACCATGCAAATATCATTTACCTGGCTTGATGAGATTGCCCCTGCTTCACAAGAGTTCATACGTTCTACCAGAGTGAAACTTGTAAACTTGAACTAGCAGCAAAAGTGCAAATACCCCCCAGCCCCGTCGCCGAACCGCGCCTGAAAATGTTTCGTTTCAGGAAAATTTGTCATTCTCTGTAGACGAACTGGGTCGCCAGTCACTCATCGAAGCTGCGAAAACCTCTATGAGCAGCAAAATCATTGGAGCGTAAGTAACTTCTCGACTCCCCCAATCATACTCATTATTTCATGTGGCTGTTTTATAGAGACTCTGACTATTTCGCCTCTCTTTGCGTCGATGCGGCCGAAGCAGTAAAGGTGACAGATTCGACAGGCAAGGTAAAATTACCAATTTGTTATCAGTTTACTTTCAAGTGAACGTGCTTACTTTAGGTCACCTATCCAATTGCTGCCGTTAATGTATTGAAAGCTCACGGAAAGAGTGCTCGTGAATCGATGCTCATCAAGGGATACGCTTTGAATTGTACGGTGGCCAGCCAAGGTATAGTTGATTGAGATTTTGTTTCCACAGAGTCTGGAAATATGCCTGTCCACTAACGTGCTTGTTTCTCTTTAGCAATGCCGCTCCTCGTTCCAAATGCGAAGATTGCTTGTCTTGATTTCTCGTTACAAAAGGCTAAAATGCACCTTGGAATCTCTGTTATTGTAGAGACTCCGGAAAAACTGGAGGCCATTCGTCGAGAGTAAGTCATTCCAGCGATGAACCAATATCCCATTACAGTCTGGTATTCAAAGTATTTTAAGGGAGTATGACATCACAAAACGCAGAATCGAAAAAATTTTGAAATCAGGAGCAAATGTTGTTCTTACTACTGGAGGTTTGTTGAATGCGCTTAGTTCTTTTGTTTCAGTTATGTGAATGTTAGCCTTATTTCGCGCGTTATTCAGGAATCGATGATCTCTGCTTGAAACAGTTCGTTGAAGCGGGTGCAATGGCAGTGCGGCGATGTAAAAAGACGGACTTGAAGCGAATTGCCAAAGCCACTGGAGGTGATTTTCATATAGGATGAATAGTATCTTTCAAGAGCGTCAAGAAACTTACAACTTTCATTGACCCTTTGGAACATCAAGAGTGGCGATCGGCCATTTCTGCTGTTCTATTTTAACCGATCTCTTGGAGGATTGTTTTACTGGTTGAAAATTTTCTACGGGCGCAACTTCTTGTAGCACAGGTTTTCGTCGGATTTGTTTTCATGAGGCGCTACTAGTGCTCAATGGCACGCTTATCACGCGTCGATCCGGCAGTGAAATCCGGGATCTGTTCCCAGTCCAACCAAGCCTCTACCCACCTGGGGCGGTCGATTGATACCATTTGTATGGGAGGGTAAAAAAAAACACTGAATTGTTGATCGGCTAGCCCTCACAAGTGATTGTAAAGGCCACATCGCTTTCGATAAGCCTCTACGATTCTAAATGAGAGTAGAATGCATGCCGACCTCCAAAAGGGGTTGATCAACGGCGAAGACTTTATCTTTTCATTCTTTCATTTGTTCTGATAATATTACAGTTTGTGTAAGAATCTTCACGACTCTTTCAGCAACTCTGGTGGGCTCCCTGGCGAACTTGGAAGGAGAAGAAACCTTCGATGCGTCTCTTCTTGGTCATGCAGAGGAAGTGGTTCAGGAACGAATCAGTGATGATGAACTAATTTTCGTAAAGGGCCCCAAAGCTCGTACTGCTAGCTCAATCATTTTGAGGTCGGTTTCCGTTTTTATACAGCAGTTATAGTCTTATTCGCTAAGGATGCTGTGGCGTGTCAGAGGAGGCTCAGTTTGGCGTGGCGCCAGCCCCCAATCTACCAGTTGTTGACGAGGCCAGCGAACAGTAACTGGTGAAAAACGGGTAAGCGCCACATCAAACAGCCCTCCCCCGTCGGCACATCCCCAGTGCCCGCAGCGTACAAGACCGTATATACCTTTAACGTTGCACATCCTGTTTCTTTATTGATCCAGACAACGTTGCGACTA